AGGGTGACACCATCTGGTCTAGGCCTGATTCTCATGGAAACTGCTCTTTCCTTCCCATTATTTAGATGAGTGAGGCTCAGATTGGTGAACTGACTTGCTGAATAACAAGGAAATGGCTGACCTGAGTGTCCACACCAGCTCTCCCTGACCTCAAAGCCAGAGGGGTTTATTTACTATACTCTCTGCCGCTATATCTATTATCACATTTGACTCACAGCAAACCTGCGAGTAGATGCTTTCATTATCCCCACTTTGTAGGTAGGGAAACTGAGGCTCAGAGACAGGGACTAATTTAACTGAGATCAAATGGCTAAAGTTGGAACCACATTTGAACTCAGACACTGGGTCTGAGGCTGTCTCTATCCCAGGAGAGCTTTCTCTAGGTGTTGAGGAAATGCGTTTCTCTTTCGCTTCCTGCCCCAATGTTAAAAGCTCCTAGGTTTCCGCCTGGCTGGGCTGCCTGGGTTTTGGTGTCACACAGACAGGCCTCGGTTTCAAATCCTAGCTCTGGGCAAGTTGCTTAATGAGAAGTCAAGCTAAATGAATTAAAGTGTAGCTATTCTGTGGAGAAATAAAATAATAAGAAGAAATAACCAACTTATCCGAAGAGCTTATTTCACACCAGATACTGGGCAGAGCACTTTCTATGTACTAATTAATTTAATTCTCACAATCACCCTTTGATGTAGGTGCTGTTTTTATTTCTGTTTCATAGATGTGAAAACAGAGGTACAGAGAGGTTAAGCGACCTACTCGAGGTCACCCAGCTTTCAGCTGCCAAGGCTGGAATTTGCAATCCTAGCAGCTTGGCCCCAGAGCCTATGGTGCTCTCAGCCACCATTGTCTAAAATCACGCTGTGGCACTATGTCCACAGGCATGGAAAGCTCCCTGGGTTCAGTTTAAAAAGTAGGTCACGAATCAGCTTGGAGGCCCCTGCTCGTTTTGAATTTATACATAACACTACACATTTTGAGTGCTGACTACGTGCTGGGTGTTAAGGCATGCACTTGGAATATACTGTTTAACTTAATCTTCAAGCAGTGCTGTGAGGAGGGCACTGCCCTGGGCGTGTTCAGATGCAGAATGAAAGAGGGGTTCGGTCCCAGCCCTGAGCGTGGGAGCTGGGATTCAAACCCAGACACTTGGGCATCTGGAATGCACCCATGTGGATGCATTCACTGGCCGACGGCCGCACAGCCCTCTTGCTGGAGCAATGAGAGCCTTCACCACTGGCCCCAGGAAATGGTGAGAGGGGCTGGCTGGTGGCTGTGACCTGTGGGTGCACGGTGTGGTCCTGAGTTGTCCCTGGAGACTTAGGTCCCCTGCTTTTGCAAGGTGTTTTTCAAAATACGTAACAACCTACAACTGGAGTGGGGCGCTGAGGCCCCCATTGTGCAGATGCTGCCCCTTTAGATGCTGGACTGAGGGGCAGTGAGGGAGGGTCTGGGGCATTGGGAGGGGCGCTGGGAGGGCTCAAAGCAGCATCACTGGCAAGCCTGAAGCTTCCTGCTGCGGCCATAGTGAACATCGGCCCTGTCCTGTTTCCCTCAAGAGCAGGCTGGTGCCAGGGTTTCCTGCGTCTCCCAGGAGCTGCCTCCAAGGCCTGATTCATGAGCCCTTCCGAATGCAGAGCCCCAAGTGGGAAGACAGAATCTGGAAGATGTTGAACTCATGAGCAGCTGCGGAGAAGCAGCAGAGGGGACGGGGGTGGGGCGGGGGGGACAGGCTCAGATGCCCACCCCTCCATGTGCAGGCCAGATGCCCGACAGGAAGCAGGAGCCACATCAAAGTGGCAGGCGCCCAGGCCAGAGCGGGAGGGGACCGAGGACGTGTACAGCACGGTGATAAAAGCCCAGGCAGCACAGAGCCAGCACCATCTACAGGCACGGACCCTGGGCCACAGAGGGGGCCAGCAGTGATGGTGGCCTGAGCAGGCCCAGGTCTGGGATGGCGCTGAAAACTTGCTTGGAGTGGAGCAAAGATGTGTGAGAGGCCATGTCCTGCCGATTAGGAGCATGAGCTCTGGACCCCCGGGGGCCTGGGTTCAAATCCCACTTCCATCAGTCTCAAGGATTATAACCTTACACAAGTTCCTAAGCCTCAGTTTCCTCAGCTATACAATGGGAATAATGGTACTTACCCTATTAGGAGGATCGAATGTGTTTAGCACAATACGTGGCACATACTGATCACTCCGGAAGTTAACGCCCCCAGGAGCAGCCCTCTCAGCCCTTGCTAGGATGGTGGATAAATACCCTGGCATAAGTAGCCTCACCTCTTTCAAGTGCATGCTCCACACTGACCCCTAGAGTCCCCAGCAAGATCAGGCTCAGAGCTGTCCCTCTGGGGCTGCCTCTCGTCTCTCCTCCTGACTTTCCCCTCCCCTGCCTCTCACATACCTTCCTCCCGTCTCACTGCCTCAGGGCGGGCTAGCAGCACCAGCTCACCATGCTGGGAGTGCTCTGCCACTTGCATGCTGGGACCTTGGACAAGAGATGCAGAGTACCTGAGCCTCCGTTTCTCGTCTGTAAAGCGCAGACAGTAATGGCAGTCACCCTCAACGTTAGTTGTCAACCTTCGTATGTACTGTAGGTCGAGTGTCGAGCATCGACCCTGCACACGGTAACCAGGGACCAAATGTTAGCTATTATTATACAGTCATGAGACCTGGGGCAGCATTAGGGGTGAGAGAGCTGTGCAGTCATAGAGCCCCTGGTTTAGTCCTCTGCTGTTGCTGTCTTGAAATTCTTAATGATTTTTGGACAAAGGGCCCACATTTCCATTGTGCACAGGGCTCTGTAAATTATGGCGTCATCCGGTGAGACCTCTCGGCCTGTTTTCTCGTCTGTCAGGTGTGGTGACAGCCCAGTGATGTTATCACCTGACCTGCAGCAGTGATGTGGGGCAGCAGGGTGTGTGCCCTGTAAAAGAGCTTTGCTCATAATAAAAAGACAAATAACACAATTAAAACACCGGCAAAGGATCTGAATAGGTCTTTCTCCAAAAAACAATGCACAAATGGCCGATAGACACATGCAGACGTTCAACCTTGTTCGTCATCACGGAAACACAAATCAAAACCACAGTAAGGTAGTACTCCACACCCATTACAATGGCCAGAGTCACAGACAGACTGTCACAAGTGCTGGTGAGGATGTGGAGAAATCAGGACCCTTATAAGCCACTGGGAAGAGGGTAAAATGATGCCACCACTGTGGAAAAGCCTGGCGGGACCTCAAGAGTTAAAACATAGAGTTACTATATGACCCAGCCATTCTACTTGGTATCTACCCAAAGAAATGAAAACACATGTCCACACAAAACTGGTACATGAGTATTTATAACAGCATTTCTCATAATAGCCCCAAGTGGAAATGACCCAAACGCATATCCGCTGATGACTGGACAAACACCGTGTGTCATGACAGAATACTATCCTGCCATGAAAAGGAAGGAATGATGGAGTCGTGCTACAACATGGAGGAAGCTTGCAGACATCATGCTACATGAAGAAGCCAGACACGGGCCACATATTGTATGAGTCCGCTTATGGGAACCGCCTAGAGTCGGGAGATCCATGGAGACAGGAAGTAGGTTAGTGGTCGCCAGGGGCTGGGGGTGGGGTGGGCATGACTGCTGATGAGGACGAGGTTTCTTGTTGGGGTGATGGAAATGTGTCTACAAGAGATGTGGTGATGGTTGCCCAACTCTGGGAACGTGCTAAAGCTATTGGATTGTACGCTTAAAGCGGGTGAGTTGTGTGGATGTTACATTTTTGAAACGGTGCTTTTCAAATTCCAAAGTGCTAGACAGTGGCTGTTGTGATGATGGTCACAGCACAGCGCCCCTGCCCACACACACACACAAGTACACTTACACACACTCACAGGCATGTTCACGTGTACACATGCATACTCACACCTGTACACACACATGCACGCACGCGCACACACACACCACACACACGCACCCTCTCTAGGCCAGACCTGCGCCACTGCCCTCTCGGACTCTCTGTTTATTCTCCATCTTTAGGAAAACACATCCACTGCCAAGTCCTCTGGGGAGAGGCCCTGAATAAATACACCAACCAGAGGAATCCCTCCTTCCCACTGCTCACTCCATCCTGCATTCCAAAACAGAAACACAGGTCAGAAAGAGTCCCTGGTGGGACAACATATGCTGTGGCCCCACACCTCCCCCCAGACCCTTCCCAGGAAAGGGACAGCTTTCTGACCTGGCCAGGAGGTGAAGAGCCTCCTCGCCTTGGTTCAGGCAGCAGGTGACAGAGGGCTCAGGATAGTGGTGCCCAGAGCCGTCAACATCAAATAAAGTTGTGATGACCCATGTGGGGTCACCTCCTCTCCTCCTCTGCCTCTCTCCCTCTCTCCCTCCCTCCCTTCTCTCTTCCCCCAGTGTCCGTGTGCTGCACCTCAAGTGATGAAGGCAGGTAGAGATGCTTCCAGAAGATGGGCCGGGCCCCGCCCTCTCCCAGGACCTGCTGGGAAAGTCCTCACTGGTTCCCCACTTATTGTGGGGCATAGAGGTGGCAGTGGTGCGGAAAGCAGGGTCTGGTTAAACGGGCAGCCAGCTGAGTTGAGTTCCAGTGAATGGTGGTCTCGCTTAACTGAAGATTGGCTACAGGTCTGCTCTTTCCGGCGCCTTCCAACTTGGGAGGTGACAACCTACAGCAGGGTGGGGATCATTTCCACGGGCAGAGTCAGGTGCGTCCCTGGTAAAATGGCAGAACAAGCCTGCTGATTATAATAACAGCAGTAATAACACCAGTCATTGTGCACTTCTTATGTTCTGTGTTATCATAATATGCTAAGCACATGATATTTATTTTTATTTTTCACAACAGCCCTATGAAGTAGGTGCTATAATTATAGCCACATTGCTGATAAGGAAACTGAGGCTCAGGGAGGCCAAATAACACAGCCAGTTGGTGGGTGGAGCTACAGGGGTACCATGGGGGGTCCACGCCGCCCCCAGCCTCCTCGGCTGCTGCCCTCCTACCCACGGTCTAGCGACTGCCTTGTACTGGGCTTCCCTCCCCCTTGGTGTAAATTTGTTCTAACATGTGAGTGACTGCTAAGCTCAGCTTATCCTAAACATATTTGCCTTTTTATTTTTTAAGTGCTAGTTCATCCAAGTGCATGCTTAATTGGGGAGATACAGAGAAACAGCAATCAAATCAACGGGCACCTCCCATATGCCCATTCCCGTGGGGCAGACTGCGGGTGCTGAGGGGGACCTGCTGACTCCCCTTCCATCTACAGACCCTGTTGCAGCAGAGACGGTGAGTACATCACCTGTGGCCCTGTCCTTGGCCGTGAGTAAGTCCTTCCAGGCTCTTCCATGGCGGCCGTTAAACTCCAGCCCTAACAATCAGCCTGCTCTCTGCATTTCCAGGTCTTGTTTGGACTGGAACCATTTAAAATGCTCTCTCATAATTACAGAGGTTGCGCAGGCGGGGGCTGCACCGCCGGGAGGCCATTGGACTTGCACGTCTCTGCTGCAGCCAGCAATTTCCGTAATGATAGTCATGCATGCCGTTTATCTTTGGGGTTTCCAGAAATACAGGGACTTTTCCAGACACTTGTGAGTGTCTGTGATATGAGTGATTTGGTCTGCATCATTCTGGGGGGCTGGGAGGCTGGGAGGACTCGCTCCCTGGACAAGCCGGGAAGCTGCCAGTGGCTGTTCAGGGGACTCCAAACTCAGATGGGTTCAGACAATCGATGGGGTGAAGGAGATCAGACGTTACAACTGGAGAAAGATAGCTCCCCAGGACTGAGGAGTTTCCTGGAATGCAGGACTTCTGGTTTTAAAACCAAGAAAGTCCTGGACAAACCAGGATAAGTTGGTCACCCTATTCCTGGTGAACTTAGGGAATTGAAGGTATGCCTTTTTGTTTGCTTCAATCAGAAACCTTTCTAAAAAGGTAACAAATGAGTTTTTAAATAAAGTTATAAATCTAAAAAACAACAGAAATAGAAGAAGGGGTGATACGGAATAAGGGTGCCGATAAGGTGTTAGAAGGTAGAAACCAAATAGATGGCGACAATCCACTGAGCTCAGCAGAAAAGCTGGCCTCGAAAAGGCATGGGTGGGTAACCACAGGAGGACCCCCAAAATAGAATCCCTAATTCTATCCCCTCCCTGGCAGGAGATGGGAGGTTGACCCTGCAGAGATTAAACCTAAGACCCTCCAAAGCTGGGGATGCCAGCACAGAGAAGGTGGGGGCAGCCTGCTGTGGAAGCAGGATACTCACGTCCAGGTCTGTATGGGTAACAGAAGGTCTCACCCTTCTCCCATCACAGGGCCGCCTCCACATCCAAACCAGAAATCAAAACACACAGGCAGGAAACCACAGAACACAGAAGGAACAAAGACAATGCAAAGAGAAGACACATGCGAACGGACAAAACCAAAAGCATAGTTAATAGCCTCACAGAGATGAAAGATTAAATCCGTGACACAAGAAGGAAATGCTACCTTAAAAAAAAAAAGAAGCAAGAATGCGCTCCTATAAAACTGAAATGAGAGATTCAGTAGAATAATTGAGATAAAGGTGAAGAAATGTCCCCAAATTTGGCATAACAACACGGAGGCAGAAAACTAGAAGTGAGAGATAAGAAGATTAGAGGCTGCATTCTGGAACTCAGCATCCAGCCAGCAGGGGTTTTAGAAAGAGATTGTAGCATTCAAAAATTGTCAGAAAACTGGAGATAAAAAAAGACACTCCAAGTTTTCAGAGAGCAAAGAGGAAGAAAGGTCATATACAAACGAACAAAGGAATGAGAATAGCCCTGAACTTGACAGCAGTACTGGAACTATTGCAAAACCATGAAGAGCATGGAGCCAAAGCCTTATTAGCCTTCACACGTGGGGGGGGAGAGTTTTTCTCAAACTAGAATTCTATATCGGGCTCACCAATCAACATGGGGGATCGAATAATGATGTTTTCAGCTACTAGAAGTTTCAAAAGTTGCCTCCCCCGGGCCTTGTTGCAGGCAGCTCCTGGAGAACCTGATCCAGCCACACACCAGTGTGTGAACCGTGGAAGGGGAAGGCGTGGGGTCCCGGGACAGGAAGGAGGGAAGTGAGGCAGCTCCCAGCGGGGTGCAGGGAGTTCCCACTGGTGCAGCAGGCCTGGAAGCCGCTGAGAGGGAACCCAGAGGAATAACGTAAAAACCAAACCAAAGCAGCAACAACAAAAACCACCCACTAGATTACCTGATATGTTGGTGCTGAGAAAAGTTTCAGGACGTTTTTGTTTTTTTTTGAGACTTGGAGAAAGACATAGGGATAAATACAGAGCAAACCAAGGAGACTATTTTCTAAAGGCAATTATAAACTCCAGGAAAACCGAAAGGTTTTACAAGAAAGGAAATGGTGCCATAGTATATACTCCATGATGTAGAGGTAAACGATCATTATGTAAACCCTAAATATTAATTTCCTGAAAACTTAGGATCAATAGATGAGGAGAATGTGGAAGGAGAAGGTGGTGTGAGATTTTTAGCCCTCATTTTCTGTAGGAGAAGTCAATGGATAGTGTCTAAAATACGAAATCAAAAAAGAACAGTATGAGCATACTATTTATTGAGAAACGGAAGTATATGTGAAAAGGAAGCACTAATAAAGTGAAAAGAAAAAGTGGTTTCTTCTAGAAGGTACTCATGTCCAGATTTAAAGTGCCCATCAAGTGCCCAGTACAATAAATTTCAAAATGATGGATACCAATCTGCACCCCACTAAGTCCTCCACTAAGAGGAGGCACCAGCGTTGGAGAGAGGGGTGGAGCACAGCTGGTTTTTATGATAAACCTTATATTACAGTTTGACTTTTATTTACCTCTACACAAATAGAAATTAGATTTAAAAGGTAAAAAAAAGGACGGTTTTCTATGGGGGAAAAAAGTAATACACGGAAGCCATTAGTACACACATCTGCAAAGCTACAGGGTGGGTTGCTGTCAAGTAGAGTTGGATTTCAGCCCCTCAAGTGATGTCCCCAATGGCTGGGGTGACCAACTCGGCTCAGTCTGCCCGGGACGTCCTCAGCTTGAGCACCGAAATATCTACACTCTGAGGGAGCCTGTCCATCCCAGGCAAACCGGGACAGCTCCTTTGGGGTCAGCATCATGCTCAGAGCCCATAACGTGGCCCCTGGGACATTTTGGGGTCATCCCATCCCAGGTGACCCCCGCCGACTGACGTCCCTGCTCCTTTTTCAAAACCCCTTACTCTAATTTTATTTTTAATCTTTCTGTTTTTTGCATGTTTAAGTTTTTGGTTAAGGCTCCCACAAAACCTTTTTCTGGGATAGCAGTCCATCTATAAATCCTAAATAAATAAATACATCACTCTCTTCTCCACAGCTGTCCTGGCATTCACGGCAGAGCTGCCAGGCCCCCGAATGAGTGGGGACCCACGGAGCCAAGTGAATTCTTCAGCCTGAATTATCAGGCTGGCTCAGCTGGAGTGGAGGGTGCGCAGGACAACGGCCGAGTCCTCTTCAGGCTGTGCTCGGGAGATGACCAGTGAGGTCACTTGTTTTTGTTCTAATTCATCCACGTGCAGGTTTGGCCAACAAGCTGTCGGCATGGGCTGCGGTTCAGGTTCTCATGGTGGGCGCCCGCGTCGGTGATGTTCAAGGTCTGGGGCAGAGGCCACGGGGAGCAAGAAACAGTCGTTAGTCTGTGGGAGCAGACGCATCTCGGCCCCCCCTAACTTGGGGGCAGGGGGGGGGCACCCGCATGGGTGGAAAAGCGATGGGGACAGGAGCATGGTTAGGAGGGGGACAAACTGGGCTCCAATACCTGCTCCCAGCTGTGCGACCGTGGCGTTACTGTCCCTGGGCCCAAATCTTTTGTTCTGGGGTCGTCTTTGGGCTGCCCAGTGCTTCTGTGTGAGTAGGGAGGAGGTGGTGCTTCTGGGTAAATGTGGCCCTCACACAACTGGGGTACCAATCACAGCATGTCCCGGACAGGACGGACTGGGACAACTAGCAAATGTCCATCAGTGTAGACTGCAGAAACACACCTGCTTACATCGCACAACGGAATATTATACGGCAACAAAAATGAGGAAACTGCAGCTAAACGCACCCAGCAGGGTGAACGCCACAAACAGGATGCTGAAGAAAGGAGGCCAGACATACAAGAGCATGTATTAGTATCCTGCTGTGTTTGCATAACTTTCTGAAACAGGCAAAACCAGTCTATAGAGTGCGAATTCAGGGCAGTGGTTACCCCGGGGAGGGGTGATGACTAGGAGAGGCCCAGGGGACCTCTGGGACCATGAGGCTGGTTCTGGGTTTATTCTGGGTGCATAGACCATCGCTTTGTGTTCACACTGTGAATATTCACTCTTTCAAGTTTCTGCCCTGGCTGCATGGGCCTCAGAACTGGATAGACAACTAAACATACAGTCATACAACCCAATTTCCCTCGTTGGAGGGGCTGATGGCGACTCCCCTTGTCTTCCTGTCCCCGCTGAAATGTCACCTTCTCACAGAAGCCATCTCTGGAAACCCCTCGGTACTGCCACACCTTTGGTGACTCTCCACACATCCCCATCTGCTGCTTCTCCTGTGCGCCCTCATCCCTGCGTGGTGGGCTGTCACTTGCTGAGGGTTGCACCTGCCCGGCCTCCCCGCCGGTGAGTGCCAGAGAGCAGGAGCTGGTCCGTCTGTCTCCCTGTTTCCAGAGCAGCGCTTGGCGCAGAGTCAGGGCTGAAGAGGTCTGTGTGCACTGGCTGTTGAAAGGACCAGTCAGACATTTATCGCCAGGACCGAGGTGTGTAAATACAGTGTTTTACATCCGGTAAGAGGAGAAGGTTGGATTTCTGGGTTTTTGTTTTTTGGGGGTTTTTTAAAAAATCTTTTCCTGTGTGCTGTTCTTTATTTCCAAATCTAGGATCAAGAATAACTGACGTTAAGCAGAGGCATTCTGCTCACGAGCCAGAGGCAGCCAGACCAAGGCTTAAATCATGACACTGCAGGAGAGCACCTCATAGCTGATGGCAGGGAAGGGCGGTCAGAGCTGGGCAAAGCCTGGGGAACAATGTCGGGGTGAGTTCACCTGGCACCCTGCAGCTCACAGGTCCCGCTCTGCCTGAGGACAAAAGCAGCGGCAGGTCTCTGTGCACACTTGACTCGGTGGGTGTCAGGGACCAGGCTCCACCACCGACGTCACACTTACACACTCAGGCTTCGAACCTGCAGACTATTTATACCCCTGGAATGTCACCGGGCTGGCTGGGAAGCAAAGACCCTTTAAATGCTCCACGCCCGCAGCTGCCCCGTCTCACCCGGGGCTTCCGGGAGGACCAGCTCAGCGTTATCAGCAGGCCCGCTCCAAAGATAAGGAGCCTCGCCTGGCCCCACTAATGGTATTATTTTAGGGACCACTCAGGACAGGATGGCATGGGGGCCCCGGCCATCTGTCATCCTTTCCTTCAACAACACGCTCAACAAGGATCGAATGAAGACCAGCGCTGGGAAGGAATTTGCTCAGAGCCACAATTTCCAACCCCCTCACGACATCTCTGGGCTACCTGCCCACCCACAACCAAGGTGGGGGGCCAGGTGAGGGGCAAATCCTTTGCTCTCTGACTTGGGGCTCCATGGAGTGGGTAAGACGACTTCTGTTAAAACCTCCTGAAGCAGGGAGATCCCGGGTCTGGATTCGGTTAGAAAGGGTCAGAGCTCAAATATGTAATTTCTCTGCTGGCTTTAGCAATTGAAACCATTTTTATTCAGCATTTCTACAACTTAATTAAGTTGGATATGCACCATTGAGGGTCAAGTACAAGCGTGTGGGACTCTGAGCAAATGGTGGCCAATGTCTCCAGCCCCTGGCCCACCTCCACCTTCGCCCCCACTGTCCCCCCACCCACCATGCCAACACACACACACACGCACACGCACACGCACACGCACACGCACGTCCTGGCGTTAATTAATCTGTTCCTTGGCGGCTTGCCTGTGGCATTAAATAATGAGGCGAGTTTGGGAGAACCCCGACCTAAGGTCAGACTCACCATTCCTCATTTCCCCTGGTCCCTTCCTCTCCTGGAGCAGGAAAAGCGGGAGGGACAGCTACAGGGTTTGGGATGAGAGTCCGAGGTCAGCTCACCGCCCCACTGGAGCCCACTCCTGGGCACAACCTGGGCAAACATCTCACTTGTGATCCCCAAAGCCTGCCCAGCTGCCAAAGGACTGCCCAGAGGAAGCTGACTAGGAGCCCCCTGGCTCTGCCCTTGATCTGAGAGCGGGAGGCCCAGAGGGCCAGGGTGAAGGCTTTCCAAGGCCGTTCAGCTGCTGAGGGCAGGGCCCAGGTCTCCTGATTCCCGCCTGTTAATAATAACACTAATGACGTTTATTCATCACACTTGTCAAGGAAGCTCTGCTGTGTGCCAAGCCCTGGGCTGGGCCCTGGGGACAGCACAGTGACCAAAACAGACAAAAGCCCTTGCCCTCAAGAGGGAGACAGTAACAGTCACATAAATAAGTAAAACATTTAGTTTTTTGGGTGGCACTGGGCATTATAGAGAGAAAGCAAGCAAGCAACAAGACAGGGAGGGCTGAACGGAGAGTGTCATTATCAACAGGGACCAGAGGAAGACTGCACAAGGGGACTTGGGGAAAAGACCTGAGTTGCTCAGGGAACAGCCCGCAGCCATCTGGAGGGACAGCTTTCCTGGCAGGGGGCAGGGCCAGAGCAAAGGCCCTGAGGCAGGGGGCGCCTGGGGTGTGGAGAACAGCAAGCATGGTGGTGCCATTGCGGCAGTGTGTGGGAGAGATGGGTAGGGGTGCAGGAGGTTGATAATGGCCCCTCAGAGGTGTCCGTGTCCCAATCCCTGGAACCTGTGAATGTGGCCTCATAAAAGGTGACTTGTTATTTTGTATCACCTGTTTTCATGCACAACGTTTCTGAAACCAAATGTACGTTTCCCCTCTGCCCCCCAACCCTGCCCCCACCACCACACACCAACCCATCTTCCAACCAGAGGGGACGAACGTCTGAAGGAGGTCACTGAGGCGCCTCGAAGGGATGGCTGGACTCCCACCCCAGCGTGGGGCTGGGGCCTGGGAAAGAGGGTCCCCCTCTCCATCAGACACCCCTGGCTTAGGGCTGGTTGGGTACTATGCAAGCAGAATTCTAAGATGACCCCCAAGATTACTGCCCAATATATAATTGTCACTTCCAAAGGTGAAGGCATTTGGCAGATGTAATTAAGGCCTCTAATCAATTGACTTTGAGTTGATCAAAGGGAGATGATCCTGGGTGGGTCTGGCCTAATCAGGTGAATCCTTAAAAGAAGTCAGAGATTCTCCTGCTGGCTTTGAAGAACTAAGTTGCCACGTTGTGACAGGACCATAGGGAAAGGATGTGAGAGTGGCCTCCAGGGGCTGACAGTGGCCCGTGGCTGACAGCCAGAAAACACATGGGGACCTCAGTCCTACAACTGCAAGGAAGTGGGTTTGGTCAGCAGCCTGTATAAACCTGGAGAGGATCCCAGCTCTAGGTGGGAAAGTGGCTGCTGACTGACGCCTTGCTTTTAGCGTGTGAGATCATGAGCAGAGAGCCAGCTACACCTTGCCTGCACTTCTGACCCTCTTTGTGCCGTCTCAGCATGGCCAGCACTGATGTGAGACCAAGCAGTGGCACCTGCGGCAGGCGCTCAGCGAGCAGGCTTGGGAGAAGAGGCAACAGAACAATGTTCTAAGGTGGAAATGAACACGAGAGAGGGAAACCAGGAGCGGAGAAAGGTGAGGGCAACAGGTGAGGCCACCTGTGGGGCTACAGCCACAAACACACCAGCCTATAGGAGCCTAACTAGATGCCCAGAGGGGAAAGTGAGCCAGGGATGAACAGAAGAAGGCTTGTCCTCTGCTCTTCTGCCCGAAGTGTGTGGCCCTCTGTCTCGCTTTTACTTTCCTACTCTCAAGAGAGGCAAAGAAATAGAGACCTACAAGTTTCAAAACAGCAGCTACCATTTGCCCCTCTGTGAGAGGCGATAGGGAGTAGTGGCAATTGCAGCAACAACTGTTCTTGGGCTCCTGCCAAGAGCTTCTGGCAGGAACGGGGCCCAGAGTGGCCAAATCGGCCAGCTTCTTAAGAAAAGCCGGAATTGGTGTTTTTTTGTTGTTGTTTTTTTTCCCCTCACCGCAATCTTCTGATTTTTCAAAAACATACTGGCAATGAATTCGCTTTTTGTGAAAAAAAAAATGCATAAACACCATGCAGGGCGAATAAGACACGTCTGCAGGCCGCATCTGGCCCTCTGGTTTGTGGCTCTGGTCTTTAGCCTGGAAATAGAACAAAAGCGAAATAGCGCATTAGGACAACGACAAGAGGGTTTGGAAATCACAGGGGCTGGAACTTGTTAAGAGCGGCCGCTCGTTTGAGGCAACCAGGGAAGAGCAGGCAGCCTGGCCAAGGAACACCCGGGGTTCTGACATCCATCAGACAACCTTAGTGTGCACTTCAAAACCAAAGGGAGCCAGGACGCCGCTCCGCGTGCCGAGCGAGGCTCCTGCAGGTAGGCGTCGGCCCCGGCTGCCGCCAGGTCCAATGTGGACCGTCCACGGCCGGAGCGCAGAGCCAGCTGCCCCCAAACCAGCAAAATAATTTGCGCTGGACAATGTCAGATCTGGCGCCTGTGCTGCTTTAAAGTTTTGGGTGTACGCTCCGCCCCGCCCCTCCATCCTTTTTTTTTTTTTCTTTCTTGTGCCTCTATTTTATTGGGATGACTCAACCTTTCAACTATGTTAGCAGTAAACACAGCTAATTTACCCCCTGCCTCTTTGAAACAGCTGCTGACAGCTGCACTGTAATTCAATGAAGGATCTTTGTAGTCCAGCCTACCAAATTCACATTTGTTGTTTGGTTCCATCTCTCCTGCCCGGAGCCCCACACAGCTGCACCAAATATTGACGAGTGCCCCTTCTCCCCAGGGCCTGGATGATAAACAGCGTGTTAACGGTGGAGGCCAGCGACTTCTCAGCAGACCTGGAGAACTCCAGTGTTGGAGTTGAGAGGAAAAAAACAAAACACACACACAGGCCCAAGAACCAGAACCAAATGTCTCCTTTTATTGCAAAGTCAAAATCCTTTTCATTTTGTCTATTTATACAGAATTTTCGCGGAGGACTGCTCTATGCAACAGCCGAAGGTACATTGGTCCGGCCATTAATAAATAGTCTTAAATTACAACACGAGCAGGTCGGAGGGAAGCGCGCTCACGGTCCGGAACGAGGGATTGGAGGAGGGTCTAAAAAGAGCTTCGGGTGGACATAAATAATTTCTTTGTTTTGTAACAACTATTTACATGTTTCAATGTACAAACGATGCTAACCAGAGGCCGTGTAGGGCATAAGTGGTGAGAAAGCTTGTACCAAGAGGGAATCATACAAAAACCCCCAGACCTGCCAAGACAAAACAAAATATCACAAAAACAGCAACTCATCCCTGTTGACCAGGCAGAGTGAAGGCTGCTGCCCAAGCTGCTGGAGAAGAAAAAAACAAAAGAAAGTAAAAACAGAGTCCCAAATTTCCCAGGAACCAACTTGGTCACGATGGAGAAACAGCTCCCCACTAGAGCGGACTCCAGGCGCCACAGGCCTCGTGGGTAACCCTGATCTCTGTTCACAGACAGCCCCGTACACCCCAAGGCCTGTGCCACAGCTGCAGGTTGGGTGCACGTCATTTAGGGGACCCACTGGTCAAGGCAAGGAAGGCTCTAGCCAAGAGCCACATCAGAAATGGCACCTTTGAGTCAGGACAGTTGATTAGGATGTCACTCTCAAAAAGGCTTCTAGATCCTTCCATTTGAGGTTCACGTCCAGCATACCCTACTCCCAGTGGACCTCCCATCAAGCTTCAAGGAGCGGAATGTTTGCAGAGCCCTCAATGGGGGTCTGCAAATGAAAAGAGGTGGCCACAGAGGCCCAGCTGGAACCCAGACTTCAGAACTCTGCTATCTGTGAACAACGGACGAGACCACTTGGGGGAGAGCTGGTCCCCCTGCCCACCTTTATTGAGAGCTAGGTTTCCTTGGTGCTTCTTTAAATAGGGCCGCGTTGGCCAGAGTTCAAGGTACAGTTGCAAGTTCTGTCCTGAACGCTGTCCTCCTCTACTCTGACCTTCACACTGACGTCCTAGCACGGAGGACAGCTGGAGAGCCACTTGCAAACATCTGCCCGCTTTCCTTCACACGCCTCTTTTCATTTCTGCCATCACACACCCAGCTGAATGACGAAGCACATTTTTTTTTTCTTCAAGGTCAACACGCCCCCTCCTCAGAGCAGAAACGTGCCCTTTCCCTCACAGCCCAATCTCGGATGTGGGTAAGTCTGCGTAAACCCCGGGCCTCTGCAGGCCTCAGAACGAAACCGGAATGGAATGAGAGGAGGCTTCCCCTCCCTCCACCGGCCACAGCTTCTGTTTACAAAATCAGAGTAAACCCAGAAATGGGGATAAATTGTTTAGGAAAATATATCTGTAACATCCTAACCATTTTCATTCATTCGTTTTATTGTGACATTTATTACAGGAACTTCCGCGTCGGTTTTCCTTTAGCACAGACACAAACATGCCCAGCCCTCTCTGCACCCTTTCCCCCCCGCTGCTGGGTGGCCTGGCCGAAGGGCGCCCCTAATTACCCCTGGGAACAGGTCGGTACACGGCCGAGACTTCACAGCCAATGATCGTGGCCGGCAGCTTTTCTTGATCTATTTTTCTTCCTGTTAGGTTTTGCCTGCAGCAGCTTGTAGGATCTTGTCCCTAGGATGACAACAAAAGACTGATCAAAAGCCATTTGCCTCTCAAATTCCTTAATGCTCCTACACCGTGGAAGTTGGGGAGGGGGACAGGAAGGCCTCGCCGAAGGCGGCGGTCTGCTGGCTCCTTGCCATGGCGAGCAGTGGGAGACGCTGGGCGGTGAGAGGCGTCCAGAAACATGGGGTCCCACAGGGTCTGACTTCCAGGAGGGGCTAGTGGCAGCCACAGGCCCGGACGACCATGTTTCTGTATTTCTTCAGGATGACGTTGGAGCTGTCATCGAAGTACAGGACAGAGATGGCATTGAGCTGAGTCGGGGCACAGCAGGGCTTGGGCACTGTTTCCGGGTTGATGAAGTGGACCTGGAACATACACATGAAAACGTCGGTGGAGTTGAGAAGCGGCGAGTCACCTCTCTCCGGCCACCTTATGTCTACCAGGGGCACGCACTGCTTGGGCAACGCGACCGTCGGTGGCATGTGCCGAGCAGGCCCAATTCTAAGCATGTTTTGTATAACTATTAACTTAGTTCTGCGATTATCCCATCTCACAGATGAGGGAACCAAAGTGCCCGTGTAGAGGTCTGCACCACACACAGCTGGGGAGCTAGTGGCCAGATCAGACCCTTGGGGCTGGATCAGTCTCCATTGTGGGGCTGTTCTGTGCTCTGTAAAATGTTTAGCAGCACCCCTGGGCTCTGCCCACCAGAAATCAGAAGCACTCCACACCCCACCCCCTCCCCATCATGATGTCAAATGTTCCCTGGGGGACAAAACTGCCCCAAGTTAAAAACCACCAAGCTAGATTAGGGTCTGCCTGCGGGCCAAATCCTGCCCCCCCCCACCCCACCCCACCCCGCCTGGTTTTGTGAATAAAGTTTTATTGGCACCCACTCATTTACTAACGTCTAAAGATGTTTTTGCACCACAAGGGCAGAGTTGAGCAGGGGCGACAAAGACCTTATGACTCTCAAAGTCAAAAATATTTACTACCTGGCCCTTTTCAGAAAAAGATTGCTGATCTCTGGGCTCGATCTGTTCAGTCCGAGAAAAATATAATGCAAGTTACATGTGTCATTTTAAAAGTTCTTGCAGCCACATTGAAAAAGATGGGAAACTGGTGAAATTCACTTAAGTAATATATTTAATTTAACCCAGTATTTCAAAAATAGTATCATTTCAACACGTACTTAATGTAAAATATCCTTAATGAGATATTTCGCTATTATTTTTTAAGACTTTAAGCCTTCAAAACCCAGTGTGTATTTTCTATTTACACAGAAACATCTCTATTCCGACTGGGCAGATTTCAGGTGTTCAAGAGGCACCTGTAAACGTGGTTACCATATTGGATGCTGCAGGCCTAGACCATACGAGGCTATTTGCTTCTTGAGCCATAAAAATAAAAGGAAAGGAGTTGGGGCAAACATTTGGGTGGACAGCAAC